AGCTTTCGTGGACGAAGAAGTGGGCTGTAGTCCACGAAAGCTTATGCTCTAATAAATTTGTTAGTCTCTAAGGTGCCACAAGTCCTCCTGTTCTTCTTTTTAATGTATATATATTTATAGATAGACACATTATTATTTTATTATTATTAGAAAGTCATCAGTTTTGTTTATGTTAAATATGCATATTGAAATATACTCTCCGGAATTCTATAATTATTATTTAAATGAACAAAGCAAGATGCATGCATCCTTTGTCAGGAAGCAAACAAAATAACTGAGCTGAACTGTAGAATATTGTTACAATTCATAGCAATGCAATTGTAGTACAACCAATATTCTGATAATTCTTTCCCCTTCTCTCAGTTAATTAATAGGAATTTAGATCAATCACATCTCCCTGAGAGTTTAAACTTAGACCTTAAAACAGAATAATAAAGATTTAGTTTTGAAGAGCTTTTTATGCATCATTTTTCGTTTGCGTTTTATGTATTGAAGATAACTTCACAATTAGAAGGGTCCTTTTTAAGGCTAATGGTGATGACTTAAAACGTGAATTATTATTCTTTTGAGTTGGAATGAAACCGACAAGATTATTCCTGGTTGGATTTGTTTCTGAAGGGAGGTTACCACATTTGAATGTAGTTCTTTTACAGTGTTGATCATAGCAAAACAAAAGAGAAATCTTTTTTCCCATCCTCTCTAGATACAGGGTTTACCCTGAATCATTTCGCACTGGCATTCGCATGATGAAAAGGAATATAAGTGCTTTCTAGAGCTGTAGCCAACCTTAATATTTTTTGGTGAAATTTGTCAGCGAGCCATTTTGTAACGAAACTTATATTGTTGTCAACGTCTTAGGCTGAGTGAAATATACAAATGGACCCGCAACTTGGCTGTGGTTACGACTGGCCAAATTTTCTCCCAGTTCAGTGTGATCTGTTCACTGAATTGTGGGTTTAAGCCCAGGCTGTGTGAATATGACAAATCACGCTACAAAAAATTCTTTGGCCTCTTGTCACTCAGTACAAAACCTTAGTTCCTTCACACCAACTTTGTTATTACTTTGTCATTATAATTATAGGAGCCACTTTGTTTAAGATCCTTCTAAAAAATCTGTCTCCATTTCCATTAATCAGATGTTTGAATCTGCAGGGAAAAAATCAGATTTTTTTTAAATCACAATTTCATTTTCAATTTGTTCTAATTTGGTGCCAGTTTAAGCCACCTTGTCCCCAGCCAGGTTACAATCTTTGCAACAGGAAAAAGCAAAAATTAATTTCCAATTCGTTAAAATTTTTTTGCAAAAGCATGAGTAGTGCCGTTTTAAAATTATCTCCATTTAAAACAACTCCAATCCCAGAGAATGCTGCGTGGCTGTTAAATATATAGGTGGTTTTGAACAAAAAATCTGTCTCTGTAGATATATTTTGTAACACTTGACTTAAAATTCCAACATGCAAACAAAATATAAGGGAAATGTTATTCTAAATTGATTTCCTGCTGAGAATTTATAAAAGGAAGTTAAGAAATAAGAATAAACCAAAGAAGAATGCCTTGTTTTAGATCTATCCTGTTGGCTGGAAGAAATAAGGAAGATTTGCACGTTTGCGGTAGTTGTGTAGTTTTCTTTTTGAACTGTCCTTACCTCGGTAATGCCAAGAAATAAAGTTTTTGGGTTTTCTTTGGGGATTTACTTCTTGCCCGAGCCAGGTTAGCGAGCAGAGGGCTCGAATGGCATAGTAGCAAAGTCAGCTCTGGAGTTAGCAAGCGAGGGGTGCAAATTCTGCTTTGGAGGGAGAAAAAAAATTCCTACCCTCCTTTACCAAACGTCTTCTTACCTTTTTGCCCAAGCAAATGTCTTTCCAAAGGGTCCAGACTGAACAGTGCCGGGAAGCGCTGGAAGAAAACATAACAGAGACCGGTTTGCTGCTGGATCACCAGAAGAGGATGGGCAAATCTTTAGCAAACCCATGCCATGCCAACCAACCCCCAAAAAAGCAGCGAGAAAGAGCAAAATGTGTTAAAAGGATAACTGAGAAGAGATAGAGGAGTCGAGCTGTATAATCTGCAATAAAAGGAGAAGCTTAACCTGAATCGGAGAGCAGATTTAGAGCGGTGCTGTAGATTCAGCAGACTTTTCCTCTCCCTCTCTCTCTGTGCTTTCAGATCTGAAGATTTGGGATTTTCTCCTCTAAGCCCCAGGAGTGGGGGTAGGAAGGGGGGGAGTGTTTGCTCAAAACAATTTTGTGTGTGAGCTAGGTCCATTCTCAGCTGTTGCCTTAAGAATCTCACATGATAGGAATTATAACAACAGACCTCTTGCAGATTAATGTCCAGGGGGAATTGTTTGTCTCAGATGGCTTGGGAGGTCTTTGCTCTCCTTCTGGAGGGAGAACATGGCAAAGGAGAAGGTCCATGTCTGGAATGGGGAGTTGTCTTTTAAAGTTTCACTTTGGCTTGAAATTTACTTTGATCGGAGTGGGTGTATGTTGGGGTAGCTTGTGATCAAAAACAGCAATCGGAAACTATACGTCACAGCTGTGTTGGACTTTAATTCATCTAATTCATTGTCCAATTTCAACAGGTGGAACTTCTAAAAAAAATAAAAATGAGAAGACACTGTACTGTAGCAGCGGACTAATATTTCGTTTGGAAAATGTCAAATCTAGTAGGAATGCTCCTTGTTACTTAATCATACGCAGAAATCTTTGCGGCTTAGGGCCTAATATTTCAAAAAACGATAACCCAAATATATTGCTTTTAAAAGATCGCAAATCTAGGCATGAAAGATAAGCCTCACGTTTCAAAGAAAGATACAAAACAATCTTGTGTTTATTTTTAAGACCAGCAACCTAAGATTTGAGGTTACTTAGATTAAAAAACATTTAAGAGAGGAAAATAACAGATTAGCAGAAAGAACATTCATGTTTGTTACATTCAGGCTAATGTAGTTTGCATAAAATGTGCTTAGAGAGCAAACAACCTGTGAAGGATTATTTCACTTCTGCGTTCTTCCCCCTAATATTTAAAGCTGTGTTAAATTAAAAAAAAATGTTAGAGTATTAAAAATATAAAAGTTCTGGTTCAAAAAGTCTGTATTGCTTTCGGGGAAGGAAGATCTCTTTGCAATCTATAGGCACAACTTTTAACCAAATCATTGCATGCCTCTAAAGAGGAACCAATATTCATATTTGAATTGTGTCTCTAATCATGAAGGTCCAAATTGCTACAAGCAGAAGAGACCAGCTCTTTTCTGCAGAGGTGGGCAGCCTCAAAGAAGATAGGATCCTTTTCCCCCCCCCTCCTCTTTCCCGTTCTCCAATCTCTTTTCTTTATCTATACATATAAACAAATAACCAAATGAAGACACTGCAAAGGCAGCAAAATGAGAGATTGTAGGAGATTAACAATCTTTTGAGCAAGCTGATGAGACTAGAGACAAGGTCCAAAAATTTCATTCAAGAGCGCTTGGATTGCTCGGCTGAAATTACTCTCCTAAGAAGCTTAGAGGCAAAAATAAAATTCAGGGAGAAAGTTGGATTCATTTCCATACAGTTCGCTACACGAGAGAGAGAGAATACGTGGCTTTCCGCACTTTCTTCCCCTTATTTTATCTGCAAACCGAGGGGGTTTGCAGTAGATTAAGGTTTCACTTTGCAGCTAAGAAAATGCAAAGGCCAAAGAGCGTGAAAGGATGGCGTGCATATCCTTCAGAAGTCTAGTTGTTGTGTCTGGAGTTTTACTAATAACCAAGGGTCTCGTAGCATCAGGCACATGTTGAAAGAGACAGTTCCTGCCCGAGAAACTTACAATATAAGGGTAAGAGGAGAGACAATGGGTCAGGAGGTCTCAAACTGGGGGTCAGGACCCCTCAGGGGGTCATGAGGTTATTACATGGGGGGGGGTCACGAGCTGTCAGCCTCCACCCCAAACCCCACTTGCCTCCAGCATTTCTAATGGTGTTAAATATATAAACAAGTGGTTTGAATTGATAAGGGGGGTCGCACTCAGGGGCTCGCCGTGTGAAAGCATCACCAATACAAACGTTTGAGAGCCGCTGCACTAGGTGGAGACGGACGGACAAAGCGCAAGGTAACAAAGAGACGACAGCACTCTGTCTAGTTTCACACCATTTCCGAACGTTTCCAATTTCCTTTGGCTTTAACTTGGTTTCTCGTCTTTAGCTTCTTGTAATCACTGCCCTTTAACCAGGGGGATTTTTAGAAGTGCAATGTGTGCGTTTGTAAATGGCGTCATACAAACAATTGATTTCCATTTTAACCCCTTCGTATTATCCAGCATGAAATGTTTAAAGTTAGGTAGCGAGTGGTGACGCTAGCATGAGACGTGGACGTATTCGGAGACGTTTGGTTGGTGACGCTGATTTTTTCGAGGCAGATTTTAAAGTGTTTAATAAAATGTTAATAGAAAAAATATAATTGCACAGTAAAATCAAGAGAAAATTGGGGATCGACTTTGCACCTTTACAACACAACTGTCTCGGGGGAGCCAGACGATGAGTCAAGCGGCTTCCGCGGAACCACTTGCTTGTTTTTCCATTTGATGGTTGAGAACTTTTGGATTAAAAGGACCAGGAACCCATCCTGGTGGATGTCTTAAGACCCTTGGCAGGGACTCACGCATCCTGTCCCTTGTCCAGTCACTGACCCGGGTCACACTCTGCAGATGATTGCAAACGCCTGCCCAAGGCCTTGCCTTGCAAACATCTCGCCCCCACACCCCCGCCCCGGTGCACTCTGTAAAGACCAGAACGGAAGAGAATTCCAGCTGTGAGAAATTTCAGTGCATCTGCGCTTTTAAATCTAAAGATTTAAATCCATTATCACCCAACTGATTGGTTCTAAAGTAAAGTTTCACGGAATGCTGGCTTGGTAGTTTCAAAGTAAAATCTACTCTAGATCAATGGTGATGGGTGGATGGGGACACAGTGGGGGCCAGTGGTTAGAGCCCCAGGCCAGGCCCGAAGCCCTGGGGCCAATGCCCGAAGCCTGAGCCCCATCCCAACACCCGGGCGGCACATCCAGGAGCAACAAGAAGGAGAGAGGCCCTGTGGCCGCAAGAGAAGCCGCTGGTGGCCCTGTATAATGGCAGATCTCTCGTGAATAGCAATACTCCACGCAGAGACAGTCCTTTTACACCTGCTACTTTCCCTCATTCGCCACACGGACGGTGCTGTCCCACAATGAGTCAGTACGCCGGGGCAGGAACATCGGTTTTGTCTACACAGGCTAACCTAGTCTCCTGTTCCAGTCTAAAATGCTCCACATTACTGGCGGGGTTTTTTTAAAGCCGATCAATTCAAATGATGGAAATTGCTCGCTATTCAGAACGGCACCCACAGGGAGAAACAAATAATGAATTTCTCCCAGCGGCACAGATCCCTAGAATTCTTTGTCACCTGATCTCGCAAAAATAACTTTGAAAGACACACATGCTTGGTTCACCTCCAAGCCCAGTGTGATTTTAACGCCAAACGTTATGTTATTCGTGGTTGGTTTCCTAATGACCAGTCGAGTCCCTCTCTGAAATGATAAGGCAGATGCCCCTTCTCCATCGCCCAGTGGCACAAAACCACCTCCAGAGACGGCACAAGTGTCTGATGGCCATGTCATGCAATAGTTCTTCGCTTCCCATTTTAAAACTCGATCCCAATAATTGACCCAACCCAGACCGATCCCCCGCTCCGCGTACGTTTCACACCCAGCATTGCCACCGGCATCTACCAATACATTCCCAGCATCTCCGCCCCTCCAAAAAAAGAACCACCCCAAAACAATTGGAGGACGAACTGGACCCATGTGGGCCTTCCCCAGTCCAACGGCTCTTGAATTAAGCGCGCTAAAGCCAGCCGAGTGGCATTACGAATGTAAAGACTTTAAATCATTAGATATAATTTTATCAAGAGCGCTAACTCCCCCCTCACCCCCCCCTAAATCTGGATCAGCGGCAAATAATCATACCTCCCGGTCACACACAACCGAAAGACTAGCTGATCTCTCTTCCCAGCAACTCACCTGGGTGTGCGGAGCTCCAGGAGGCGAACGCTTTGAGGAGGGGGAGGAAGAGAGAGCGAGCGAGAGAGGGGGGGAAAGGAATAGAAGAGGAAGAGGCCACCTACACGTGGAAGATTTAAGTAAGGGAGGCCGTGATGTCAGCTCTCTTTGTCTATATCTCTCCCCTTAATCCTGGGAGGGTGGCAGGGAAGGGGGTCGGAGGTGGACTCGAGCGAGGTGACTTTGGGGAAGACAGTCCACCCGGCTGGCAGCGAGTCACTAATCCGCTGCCGAAATGCCAGACGCAATTAAACGTGATCCCCCGGGACGAAAGGGGGTCTCTCTGCAGGCCCAGCGGGTGGCACGGGCGGGGAGAGGGGCAGCTGCTTGGATGGCAGAGCCAGCCACACCAAGAACCTCCCGGGCAATCAGGACCTGAGTCTCCGTTGCCCCCCAATCTTGTGGGATTGTTTAGAGCCAGCTCTGGCCTGCGTCCTGACCTCACTCCCCTCCCAGAGCTGGGATAGAACCCAGGAGTCCTGGCTCCCAACTGCCCTGCTCTAACCACTAGACCTCACTCCCCTCCCAGTACTGGGATAGAACCCAGGAGTCCTGGCTCCCAGCCCCCCCTGCTCTGGGACTCAGAACTCTGGGGTTCTCTGCCACTGACCTGCTGTGGCATCTCACTGCAACTCTCTGGGCCTCAGTTTCCCCTCCCACCCTTTGTGTGGGTGTGCAGCATGCAGCACAATGGAGACCCCGATCTTGCCTGGGACCCCTTAGGTGCTACCTTAATTCCATTAATAGTTTCATCCTAAAAACTGTGCTTGGGGCCAGTACCTGTGTTTTGGACGCGGTCCCTGTCCCAAGGCACTAGGGAGA